TAAACAATTTCTTTTCCCAAATTTTGAAATGAAGGATATAGGTGAAGCTTCTTATGTCATTGGCATAGAGATTCACAGAGACATGTCCAAAAGGACATTAAGACTGTCTCATAAAGCCTACATTGAAAGAGTTTTAGAGAAATTCAAGATGAGTGATTGCACTCCTAATGCAGCGCCCATTTTAAAGTGTGACAAATTCAGTTTAAGTCAATGTCCGAAGAATGATTTGGAAAAGGAACAACTGGTTAGCATTCCCTATTCATCTGTCGTAGGTAGTTTAATGCATGCTCTGGTTTGTACACGGTCTGACATTGCATTTGCAGTTGGGATGCTTGGAAGAAACCAAAGCAATCTAGGAATGGAACATTGGAAGGCTGCAAAGAAAATGAAGAGGTACTTAAAGGGAACCAAGGACTACATGCTTATTTACATGCATGTTGACTGTCTTGAGGTGGTTGGATACTCAGACTCAGATTTTGCAAGTTGTCAAGATTCTAGAAAATCCACTTTAGGATATGTCTATTTGCTAGCAGGCGGTGCTATTTCATGGAAGAGCGCCAAAGAGGCGATAATTGCATCGTCAACAATGAAAGCAGAGTTTATAGTATGCTTTGAAGCAACATCACAAGCTATTTGGTTAAAGAATTTTATCACAGGGCTTCGAATTGTGGATTCAATTTCTAGGCCATTAAATGTTTATTGTGATAATTTGGCTGCAGTTTTCTTTTCTAACAACAACAAAAATGGCAGTCGAAGCAAGCATATTGACATAAAGTATCTTGCTGTTCGAGACCGTGTTAAGAAGCAAGAAGTCAGCATTGAGCATATTAGTACCGATATGATGGTTGTAGATCCCATGACGAAAGGTCTTTTTGTAAAGGTGTTTTCAAAACACGTTGAGGGCATGAGACTGATTGGTTAGCTTAATAATTTTTCTAGTTTTGTTTTGTTTTGTTTTATTTCGTCATGACATTTTGATTATTATTAGTGAAAAGTATCATTTTGTGCACCTAAAGTATTTGTGATGCTATGCAATCCATTGGGACTATTGATCCATAGGGATCATTAGATCCAAAATAACTTATTAGAAGTTATTCATAAAGAATGACACCATATAAAGTTGAGAGTGTGATACAATGTAATACATGGAAGGAAATACTCAATTGATAGAGTATAACCGCCATGATTCGTGTATCATAACTCTAAGGTTTGAGTATTTTTATTTAATGGCCATAATTAGTTTGTTAGTTACCCGATAGTCAAGAACGTGTGTTATATGTGCCAAGTGGAAGAATGTAAGAATATCCATAAAGTGGCCCATATGCCACATGTTGGATTTATTTATTTGTTTATATTATATATATATATATATATATATATTTTATCAGTTTAATGGGTAATGGGTAACTAACGTATGTCCACTATCCCATATGGTGGTTTCATGGGAAGTTACAACTTTCCTGATCAAACACAGATGCTTTTGTGAATAGAATAGGTTTGAAACTCTATTTCTTCCACTTTTCTTATATGGTTCTGTGAAAATGTTCTGTGAGTATGTTTTGTTTATATATTCAAGATTTGACCATTCAATAACAAGATTCAAAGGTTTGAACATCATGGCAAGAAGTATTCTTCTTTCCGAATTAAAATAATTTTAATTCTCACATTAAGTCTCTTTGCCTTGGGAAGATAAAATAAACTTACAGATGGAAATTCAAAAAGTGTTTTTTGTGAGAGAGAGAGAGAGAGAGAGAAAGAGAGAGAGGGAGAGAGAGGTGTATTAATGATCAAATAGAGAAGTGGACTGTTGCCTGTGACTTTGCCTTAGGAAAGATGAAGTCTATGGAGAACATAATATAAGTCATGAAACGGTGATATATATTACAACCCCGTTTCGTAGCTCGAAACTTATGGGGCTCGAATGGCCCGAGTAGAAAACGACGACGTTTTGAATGTTTTTTTTCTTTTTTCTTTTTCTTTCTCTTTCTATATTTTCTTTTTCTTTCTCTTTCTCTTTTTTTCTGAAGATGAAAGATATCAAAGTGAAGAAGAAGAAGAAGAAGAGGAAGAGAAGAGGAAGCTGGAGCTGGAGCTGGACAACTCAACATCTTCATCATCATCATCATCAACACATTATCATCATCAACAATTTTTATTTTTTATTTTTTATTTATTTTTTTTCAAATCCTGATCTACTTAGAAAAAAAAGAAGAAGAAGAAGAAGAAGAAGATGCAGAAGAGAAAACAGAATATTAACAACATCTTCATCAACATCAACATCATAAGAAGCAAAATTCATAAGACAGCTGGGTTTGAATTTTTGCTTCATCATCAACAATATATATATATATATATATATTTTCCAGATCCAAATCTACTTAGAAAAAAAAGAAAAAAAAGAAAAGAGAAAACAGAGAGATCGGTGATACACAGAGAGATCGGTGATACCCACCGGCATATTATAATATATATTGATATATTAATTAATATATCAATTAATACATATAACAATACTGTCTATCTGTGTTCGAAAGAAAAAGAAAAAAAAAAAAAACACTGCCCCAAACAACGTCGTTTTGGACAGTTCAGGCCATTCAAGCGTCATCAGTTTCAAGTTACGAATCATTTTTGTATATATTAATAGTACTTACTATATCGGCCAGTTTGGATTAATTTTTATTAACAAAATTGTCACTCGACTGAGATTTGGAATAAATTGATATACTTCACCTGCAACCTATTGTGATGTTCATTGAAACCATCCGTGATTGACACTGGTCGATCGGGTCAAGTCAGGTATGTCGGGTATTCGGTTATTTGAACACCCCTATCCTTATCGAATTTTTATCGAATATCCAGGAAATCTAGTGATGTGGACTTCTCCATTGACATACTGCCTTCAGTCCACGTGGCAACTAAGTTTTTGTCTTTACAACGCCTTGCCTCCAATCTAGGGATCATTTGTTCTCTAAAGTCGGTTCATGGGCATTTGTTTTGTGAACCTGAAGCCAAGGTTGTGGCTCGATCTAGTGTTCGTTTGGCCCAAGCCAATAGGTAGATCCGGGCCGTGGCTATCCAAGTGCTCGGGCCAATCCAGCTAAAATGGTCAAATTGACCTTCTTCATAGTGGAGTTGGTGAAAGAAAAGTTACATATTACAGTGATAACCCTCTAATTTAAATACAAATGTCTCATTCATTAAAGTAACTCCTCAGTATTTTCATTTATCATCACTATACCATCAATTTTTTTATTATTTTTTATTTTTTCAAATTTCACTCTCCCTCACTTGCTTAGTGGTAGAAATGTTGCATAATCGATTGGGTACATTATATTCATGATTCCTCTAAGGAAAATCTATGGGCCGAGAAAGAAAAGCCCAAAAAATTTTACATAATGTCAAATCTATGGTGTTTAATTGAAATTGTTGTGGGTCACACCATCAATAAATCTTGACTTTTGATTTCAAATTCTAACCTTTTTTTTCCCCCTAGGTTCCTAAAATTGTTGTTCCTATAATTTATCTCATGTCAAATCTATGGTGTTTAATTAAAATTGTTGTGGGGGTGACACCATCAATGAATCTTAACTTTTTTATTTCAAATTCAAAGCTTTTTTTTTTCTTTTCTTTTTCCTAGGTCCCTAAAATTGTTATTCCTATAATTTATTCGGCCCTTATAATTTTAATTATATCAATTTCGCACTTGAATTTTTCACATTTCCAATCGATAACATCCTTGAAGAAATTGGAGAAATATCAAAGGTAAAATGGTCCCTTTTTTTTTTTTTTCTTTCGATTCTTTGAAAAATCCATTAAGGGAAGCCAAACGGCACTTACAAGATTCCATCCAACTCAAAACTTACACCAAACAAAGGAAAAATATAGTAAAAAGCACAAAGGAGATAACTTATTAAAATATTCAGATGCACATCTCATATTCGTGCTCGTACTGCAAAACAGAGCCGATCCTAAGAGTTCGATAATAGAACATGTCTGAAATAAATTATAGATCCCAACTACAGATAGAGGGTAAGTTTACGAAATAAGATGACAACCATAGAGAGAGGGTAAGTTTAAATTTTAGTCCATTCAAAAGGAATGAACTATTACAAATAAAAGGACAACCTCTCAAATCTTTTGAGAATAGTAAATAGACTATTTTGTCTTTTTAATAAATTATAGTCAATTTCTAAAAAATATTATCAATTGAATTAAATTGACACAATGTAAAATTTCAAAAGTAAAATTAATGCAATTAAAATTATAATGACTAAATTGAGATCAGAGTGAAAATTTTAAAGATTGTCAATGTCATTTGCCCACATATTTTTCAAAAAGCTAGGAATTCTCTAGAAGAACCTTTGTCCTATTTCTGTTCACTCACTTTCGTTGAATTAAGGCAAAAATTTTGGGACATAAAATCTTCAAGAACAATAATGTTATCAATAATACTCTATGTATTAATTAGTATATAAATAAATGATGTAATATAATTTCAAAGATTTTAAATCTTTATAATTTGTATAATGAACAGAATCATAATTTTAAAGTGATAATATTATAATATATATTGATATATTAATTAATATATCAATTAATACATATAACAATACTGTAATGTAATAGGAAGCATAGTAGCATAAAAAATTTTGCGTCCAAAGACGGTTGATATAAGGTAATTATTTAGTGAATTGGGGTGGCTATAACACCGGTATAGTTGGTCACCTCACCTCACCTCACCACCAGGTGCGCCAACCCTAGTCCTAGAAGTAGACAAAATTGCACGTAAAGCCGAATATATGGCACCGTCTAACAGCTGCTACATTCTCTCCCCTACCATTTCATTACCCATATGCACCGCCACCTACATGTCAACGGTCAGAAATCGTTTGCTGTTCATTTCCTATGTTATTACTTCATCTTTCTCTTTTTCTTTTCTCTTTTTTTTTCTTCTATATATACATGTCAATCCTTCTTTTTCTTTCACTCTGCCCCTTCTCTCTCTCCCCCTCTGAATCCCTCTCCTCTCTCTCTTTCTCTCTCTCTCTCTCTCTTCATATATGTGACAAAGCTTTTTTATAGATATATACAAATCACTAAAATTTTGTGTTTGTTGAAAGTTGAAAGATGAGGGCAACAAAGTATCATGGTGATGAAAAGGAAAAAATGGTGATCAATGGTCCACGTCCAACTCCATTGAGGATCATCAACAAAGGCTCCCATGTCATCCACAAACAGCGAAACCAACAACACCCAATAATCACTTACACCAAGTCTCCGAAGATCATCCACGCGAAGCCTCGCGACTTCATGGCCCTGGTGCAGAGACTCACTGGTCTCTCCTCTTCCTCGCGATCGTCTGAAAACAACGAAACTTCACAATCTCAACCTAGAAACAATACTAATAGTTATGAAATGAAGAGTATCAAAGTTGATGATGATGAGTCCTCTTCAAGCCTAAAAGATGAGAATTGTGGTGCTCACAAGTATAGCTCAGTTTTGTTATCTCCAAATTTCAATGTAATGTTGCCTAGTCAATTCTTGGCTGATATACCGCTCACCCATCTCCACGCCGAATCAGCCAATTTTGTTTTTATTCTCCTCCGCCGCTTTATGTGTTTGATGCTAAGAAGGAACTTCCTCAATATTGAAAAGATGAGGTGATTTGGGTATTGGTGAAGAGTCAAGTTCTCTAATATGTTCTAATTCTTTTCTTGTTCATGGGCTTGCATTGGTTTCCTCATTTTATCTTCCATATTTTTTTTCTTTATGTATGAAATAGATTGATCATGTAGAGATTGACAAGCATCCAATGTGAATAAACAAGCTATTTAACTTATTCTTTGACCATCAAAGAGAAGATTGACACATCCATGTTGGGATGGTATTGGTTTTATATATACCTTTGAGTGATCTTGTGCTTATCCTTTGTACATATTTCCTGTGTTCTAGCCTATTTTTGCATTTTCATTTTATTGGCTTTGATTAATAAGTGTCTTATGATCTTCTTCAATAAACTAGAAATTTTGTACTTTGAGTTTGTGTTGATGACATAATATTCTTTCTTCCGCTAATTTTTTATTTTTTTTATTTTTTGTCAATCGAAGAGTAAAACAAGTTAAGGTTGTGTAAAGATTAGGGATGGGAGCAATAAATATCAATAGATTTTAATAATTTAATTTAATTTTCATCAAATCCTATTAAAAATAATTGCTACTAAAATTGTAATCAAAAATAATTTTTTATGACAATTATTTACATATGTTACTAAAAATTAAAAATTACTGACTTTTTTTTGTCACTATTTTTATAAATTATTGCTAAAACTTAAAATTAGTGACATTGTTCTGTAATGAATTTTTCAAACAATAGCTGAAAGTTAAAAATTAGTAATTTTTTTATGATAATTTTTTTAAACTATCACTAAAACTTATAATTAGTGACTTTTTTTGACAAAATTTTCAAATTGTCATTGAAAATTAACAATTAATGATATTTTTTAATAATATTTAATAAAAAATATCATTAATTATCATAAAACCTATTTAATAATAAATTTATCTATTAAAATTTACACGTAAATCTCTCTACTTTAAATATTGCATTGGGTTTTGGGCTTCCCCATGTCAATATAATCATGGAAATGAAATCAATTGCGTATCAGCCTAGGTATGGCTTACAGCCGATACAGACAACTTGTTTGGTTACTGTGGGGATATATTTTCTGAGTACCAAACACGTAGCCAAGGTGATGCCGACGTGTCAGCCGAGGTGCCACGTGTCCAGGTCATGATGCCGAGGTTATCTCGGCAAAGCCGAGGTTATCTCCGAAGATATCGGAATCCAAGATAAGCGGATAAGAGACAAGAGTCCTAGAATGAGGAAGGACTTCAGCCTGAATAAGGATAAAGCTTTTAGGGAGTTTATCTTTATCTATTGGAGAGTTCAGGATGAGCACTGAGTAAGAGTCCATTGAAGCTAGGCTTCTAGTGGGACTAGGATTGAGTTAACAATAAAAGATAGACACCCCCAATGGGTCTAAATACGCAATTTATATTCTGAACAGTGAATTTAGCACTATTGATTATCTTTGAGAGATATACTGACTTGATCGTCAGAGTGCACCCAGGTGGAGGAACCACCGCCGGAATCTTCTCTTTCTGTTGTAGGTCAGCTAGGTGTCATCTATTCTGCCAGTTCTCTCCAGTTGAATCCTGAGTTGGGCAGTGTGATCGAAAAATCACTCACACAATTTGGCACCGTCTGTGGGAAAGAAAGAAGAATAGATGGCCAATGACAGACAGAAGGAAAAGATTGGGGACGACACTCCTGCTGGGAGTGGCAGACCTATCGACCTTGACGTCGAATGAGACAACCGCAGCACAGAAACTCGTGACCAAAATCACAGCAAGAAAGACGTTGGCCAGGAGGGCGACGTACCAAGGAAACCAGAACAAAGCATGTATTATAACGAAAATGACCTCCAAGTGTGGAAGGATATATAGATGCCTTCAAAGGGACGAAGAAGTAAAAGAGATGGCGAACAAATTGGCAGACCTGCAGTCGGTCATTAATTTTATGATGCAAAACAATGTCATGCAGCCATCATTCCCGCTGCAGGGCACGCTGATTCCAGCAGCCAATGCACAGAAGGGAGGGCAAAAACCAATCCCAGAAATCCCCCAGCACGCTAGGAGCGAAAAACACTCTCACCGGCCTTCAAGGGAGGTCGGACGAGGAGAGTCAAGGAGAGAAGAATCGCGGAAGACGCATCGCGCCAAAGAGGCAAACCCCAAAGAACATCGGCATGTTCAGGGGCAGGCGCTCTGCTTCGACACAACTCACGGAGAAAAATCGAAAAAGACCCACCATGAAGCTGAAAGTAGTATGCCGAAAAGATTGAAGTCAAGAGATAGCCGAGCTCCTGGACGGAGCAAAGAAGACTTGAAAGATTACCTCAAGAGGAAGCAGTAAAATGCCGATGCCGAGGTAACTTCTCCTAAAAAGCCGAGAACACCATTCTCGGTGGAGCTAGGCAAATTTGAGGCTCCGAAGAGATTCAGTATGCCAAGGTTCCAAATATACGATGGTAAGTCGGACCCCAACTTTCATGTTGGATTATACTTGAATTCAATGGCATTGTACAGTGGGAACGAGCCATTGCTCTGCAAAGTGTTCCCCTCATCTTTTGGGGAGATTGCATCAGATTGGTTCCACAAATTACCAAAGGGAAGCGTAAAGACTTGGGAAGGCCTAGCCGAGATGTTTGTGGCCAGGTTCGTGGCAAACAAGATGCAGCCATTAAAGGTGGACGCATTGATGGCTTTGAAGATCAGTAAGAAAAAAGGCCTTAGGGTCTATGCAAAAAGATACTATGAGGTGTTCAACCGAATACCAGAGTGTAATCAAGAGGTGGCGGTCATATCTTTCAAGAACGGCATAAAAGACAACTGTCCACTACAAAAATCTTTGGCAAAGACATTGCCAAAAAGCATGGAAGAGCTCATGGCGAGGATTGAGAAGTACGCCAGAGCCAAAGAAGATATATCGGGAACCAAGGAAGCTAAGCAAGAAAAAGGAAACGGCTCGCCGAAGCGAGGCCGAGGTAACAACGGATCCAGCAAGCAGGAGATAGAACTGAAGGCAACCACGACAAGAAATTGCACTTTTGGCGACTACTTTTGGCGACAATGTCAATTTTTCATTGCCAAAAGTATATTTTTGGCGACACAGTGATCATTTTCGTTGGTAAAAGTATACCTTTACCGACGCAATTTGTTGTCATCGCTAAAAAGGCATAACATTATTTTAGCACCAAATTTTTTGGTTGGTGCCAAAATTTCAAAACTTTTACCTACGAGGCTTATGTTTTAGCAACACAATGAGCGTTGCTATTAGTGTGCTTACTTTTGGCGACGACAAGTTGGCGTGGGTAAAGAGTTAACCATTTAGCGACGATAACACTATTCATCGGTAAAAGTTTTGTTAGTGGAATGATGTGATTTAGTGATTTGTGTTTTTTATTATAATTTTTGAAAGAGCTTTAAATATTTTAGTTACTGAATAGTAAAATTAAAATGATCATTGAATTAGATCACAAAATGAACCCATTGAGTCCAAACACACTCTTAAGTTGAGATGACTAATTTGAGATAATTTAAACTTTTTCAAAGAATATGGTTAGATTATCAATTTCAATATGTTTGTTCTTATTTTCATAAACTAGTTTCAATTTTTTTTTCCTAAAAAACTAAAAAAAAAATTGGGTGAAAAAAAAATTTATTATTTTTTGTATATTTTTATCTTTTAAATCATAAATACTTTTTAAAATTTTAAAAATATAATTTTGATTTTTATTGTTCTGAAATTATTTTTAATTTTTTTTTAAAAAAAAACAAATCTAAAAATTGTTTTGAAATATTTTATTTTTATTTAATTTTTATTTATTTGGGGTGATCTGCTGATAGGCGGTGGACTATTCTCTCTTAAAATTCCTCCTTTTTTTTTCACTACAACAAAACTAGATTTTTACAGTTTCACATCAACGACATACAGTAAATGCAAGCCGTGGTTTCTCACTTTTACGACTTATTTTTTTTGCATGTCATAAATAATTTCCCAACCACGACATGTCTATTGCGTAGGTCGTGAATTCTAATAACGATGATTTTTTTACGGCTTGCAATGTTAGCCATAAATAATGAAACATTTCTATGACCTGCATATGACATATCGTTAATACATTAACTATAAACGACACGCATACAACAGCCGTTAAAAATATTGAACATTCCACGACACACAAAAAATCAATCGTTAAAAATTACACTTTTTACAACGCACAAAATGTCAACCGTTTAAAATATTATACTTTTTATGACACATAATTTATGCCGTGAATGGTACGACTGAAAATTAAAAAAGCACCAAAATGAGATACATATGGCGCTAATGACCAAAAATATATTAGAAATTTTTTTTTATCAAATTGTTTGGCTTCTAATTGGGTTAAGGAAGTTAGAAAGCTGTAATCGGATAAAACTAGAAGAGAGGAAGAAGAGATAGGGTTCTAACCCTCATGTCTCTGCAAAAACTCTTCAAACCCCTACCCTCTCTCTCCATCAGACCCCAAATCCCAAACCCTCCTCTCTATTTTTTTCATCTCTCTGCAAAAACTCTTCAAAACCCTCACTCTCTCTCTCTCTCTCTCTCTCTCTCAGACCCCAAATCCCAAACCCAAACCCCAACCGGCATAATAACGACTGAGAAGGAGAAGATGGACAAAGAAAATACACACAGACAGAGCTCTGAGCTTGAAGAAAAGAACGAAGAAAGAGAAGTAATGATGGAGAGAGAAGACGGCTGAGAGGAGACGGAAGAGACGAACGCACGCGAAGAAGAACACTTCCATCATTCAATCAGGTTTGTAGATTCAAACTAGGGTTTTGATTTGGGGATTTTCACTGAAAAGTCAAGGTTTTGATTGAGCAACTCCAAAATTATGTAAAATTAGAGAACCTTAAGAAACTCTAGGTTCTTGAATTAATTTTGAAAGCA